TAGTAGTAGCAGGAAATCCAGGTTGTACGCCGGTTGTGCAAACAAAAGATTTGTGATTCCGTGAGAGAAGGAGATACCACCGCCGTCGAAGGGTCGAAGGCACTGTCTGCCAGATGTAGGCTGTGAGATAGATGGTGCCACCTATGTGTTCTTAGCCTGCCCGCCCGTGAGGGTCGTGACGAGGCCGCCATATGTGTGTGTGTGTGTGTGTGTGTTTTGCTGGAACAGGGCAAGTTATGTTTTCGGGAAGCTCTCGTCGAGGCGATCTCAACACCGCCATGTTCGACACCGCCATTATTTCTTCTTTGGGGTAATCGAGCTTTGAAGATCAACCCCTTGTGATACCTCACGTCACCTAGTCGTGGTATGTTCTTGCTCTTGCTGCATTCATGCCGTCGCGTTAACCAACACGCACAGCTGGGCAACCTGCGACGATCCTTTCGCTTCGCTTAAACGTACATATGACCTCGCGTGTGTCGTTGACGACCTTGCACTTCGCCCAAGGTGCTCGAGAGAATGAAGACCATCGGCGACGAAGCCGGGGGGTTGAAGCCCGACCTGCACTGCCTCAGCGCGGCAATCGACGCCGCGGGGGGTGCGGGGGAGTGGGAGGCCGCCCTCCGTGTCTTGGACGACCTTCGTGCTGCTGGATTAAAGCCGGATGGCTTCGTGTACAGGTAGCGAATGCGATACCAGGATTTCAGGCAGAGGCGGGGCGCAGTTGCAGGCCGGGAGGGGGGGAGAGCGGGTGCCACTCGAACGGTTTACTCAGCGTCGTGTCTCACTCGTGTTGCACGAGGGTCGTTTATTCTTATGGTGGCGGGGTAAACCAACGTTGACGACATCGGCTGTAGTGCCGCGGTCTTATGTAAACACCTGTTCTTTGTATGGCTGTTTCTTGATGTTTGCCACCTTTTTAGCCTGAATTTGTTGACCATGTAGAAGTATTGCACGGTGGCAGGTTACAGCGGTCGCCCGAGAGCTATGACAGATTCTCCAGACGCACATACATGAATGGTCCCCCGCGTTGTTCATTCTTGACCTTGCACGGGTGCTGTTTTCGTTGGTTCAGGGCCGCCATAACGGCGTGCGGGAACGGGGACAAGCTCGAGATGGCGATGCAGCTGCTGCGCGACATGCGTGAGGACCCTGATGTTCCGGTCGACGTCGCCAGCTTCAACGCTGCCATCACCGCATGCGGAAGGTATATACAGAATGTTTTCTTGGAGTGTTGCAGCCATACGTAAATATCAGGGAAAGAGAGAGAGAGACGGAGGCGCGAGTTGTGTTCAGAAGGTGTGTTGACCAATAGGATTAGCTGTCGGGAATGTCTTTGTTGACCAATAGGATCAGCTGTAGGAAATGTCTTTCTCGGGTTCCACATGCCTTTTTCTCGAGGAAAACTGGCGGCATCGCATGTCTTTCTCTGTCTTGCAATGTGTTTCGCCGTGGGTTTGATTCATGAACTCGTGCTTTTTGCATCGGCATGCGGCAATTCTCGTCGCGTGACCGTGCAGGACATGGGTGGTAAAACGTGAGCTTTGGGAAGGACGGCCGCTATAAACTTTCCTTGACTTTGGCATTGAGCGAAAGGCTGACCCCGGGGTGGGTGTTTGATAGACCTTTCTTCCTCGCTTGCCTCTTCTGGCCAGGTTCATCTGTGACGTACTTCTATATCACAACATGTGCGTTATTCATCGGGCAGCATTGCATTTTTTTGGGGGGGGTTGGCTAGTCATTAGCACTGGTTTTAGCCTACGATGCCTTTGGAGCTCCTGCTTGGCAGAAGTGGTTTACCTTAGATGCCCTGTTGGAACTGGAACTCCCTGCTTGATCAGATGCAAGCAGTGGCAGGAGGCGATATCCTTGCTGAGAGAGATAAGCACCGAGGGCCTGGCCCCGGGACTCGTGAGCTACGGTGCCGCCATAAACGCCTGCGCCACTTGCAAGCAGGGCGATGCCGCGGTGGAGCTGCTGCGCGAGATGCCCATCGTGGGCATCACCCCGGACTCGATGGTCTACACCTCCGCCATCTCGGCTTGTGGGCGGGCCGGCCAATGGGAGCGGGCCGTCGGCCTCTTTCGAGAGATCAGCATGCTCCGGGTCGGGTTTCGGCCCGACGCGGTGTCGTACTCGGCCGTGATCACCGCTCTCGGGGACGGTGGGCAGTGGGGGGAGGCGTTGAGGTGTGTATGTGTGGGGAGTGTAAACGCATTTGTTCTGTGACTACTGCTGTTTTTTTTTTCCTATGCCACGGAGTAGTTCGAGACCGGAACGATATTTAATGTGAAGACAACAACAACAACAGCAGTAACAACCCCGGCGCAGGTTCTTGCGCGAGATGCCCCAGACCGGGGTCAGGCCGGACGTGGTCTGCTTTAACTCGGCGGTCACGGCGTGCGCGAAGAGCGGCCGGTGGGAGGAGGCCGGGGGCCTGCTGAGGAAGATGCTGGAAGCGACGTCGTCGCCGTCGGCTTCTCCGTGGTGGTCCTCTTCGGGGGCACCGCGGACAGGAGATGCGGGAGGGGGTGCAGCGGCTGCTGCCGCCGCCGGAGCAGCGCGACGAAGAAACGTCGGGGTTCCCGCGCGATCAGCAAGGTTAGGCAGGAATCCGGCAGCCGCAGCACCGGTATCAGGCCGAAGGAGAAGCGGTGACGGTGGCGGAAACAGCGGCGGCGGCGGCGGCGGCAGCAGCGGCAGAGAGGCGGAAGCGGGCCGCTATTTCTACTGCAGACCCAACGTCGTGACGTTCAACGCGGCCATGCAGGCCGCGGGGAGCGCGGGGGAGTGGCGGGAGGCCCTGACGCTCCTGCGAGGCATGCTCGCAGAAAACATCGCGCCGAATGCAACGTCGTACACCTCCGCCATCGCCGCTTGCGGCTTCGCGGGCGAGTGGGAACAGGCCCTGCACTTGCTAAGAGCCCTGAAGAAGGGAGAGGGAAAGCTGGGCGTGGGGGCATACAACGCGGCTATCAAGGCCTGCGGTGAAGCCGGCCGCTTCGAGGAAGCCTTGGGGGTTTTGAGAGAGATGGAGGCCGACGTGGGCCTGGAGACCCCGTCATCGTCGACAACGACAAAAACCCCGCGTCCGGACGTAACCACCTACACGGCAGCCATCGCGGCGTGCGGGCGGGCGGGGGAATATCGGCGGGCAGTGCTGCTCCTCCGGGAGATGCCCACGGTCGGGATCGCACCCAGCAGGATCAGCTACAATGCCGCCATGACCGCCTGTGGCCGCAGCGGTCAGTGGGAGCTCTCCCTCTCGCTCCTGAGGGAAATGACGAAGCTGGGCGTGTCGCCAGACGTGGTCAGCTACAACTCGGTTATGTCGGCGATGGGCGATGCGGGGGAATGGGAACGAGCGGTTGGCCTGCTTGAGGAAATCAGCGGCAGTGGTGGAGACCTTGTAGGGCCGGACTGCGTGAGCTTTGCGATTACCATCCGAGCGTGCGAGATGGCTGGACAGTTGGAAGATGCCGCCGGCTTGCGGGCGGAGGCGGCGAGTATGGGGCTGCTGCCCGTGGCGGAGTGCGGCGATGCAGCGGGTGAGTTGACGTGCGTGGGGGGTGGGGACGGAAGCATTACGGGATTGGAAGGATTGCGATGTGAATAAGAGAGAGGCAGAGAGAGAGACAGAGAGAGACGGAGACAAAGACTGAGACTGAGAGACAGGAGCGACAGAGATAAAGAGAGGCAGAGACAGAGATCTTTTCGTTTTGTGTGGGTTGTCGATCGATTAGATTTTCGGGGACAACCGGAGTCAGTTTTCTGTTTAAAAAACTTCTTGTGCATGCAACAACGGGGCTTATTTGTTTCTTCCCTCGTTTTTTCTCCGCCGCTGTGCATTCGCCCATCTCCAGGCCTGGCTTCTGGGCTGAAGGTCGATGCCAACGAAGGCGAGGTGGTTACGACGAGGTTCCCTGTAACGCCGGCCGAAATCGCCTCCGGTTCATTTGCAAAGCCTTCCCAAGGAAGATTACGTCGCTCCGCTGGTGAAGAAGCAGCAGCAGGAGGAAGCATCACCCCAGTTTAGTCTGGAGGAAAGGGAAACGGTGCATCCAGGCGTTTGGGATTGGATGGGATGGGGGGGAGGATTGTGCTCAAAATGTAAACCCATGCCGTAGTCGTTATGGAGACCATTGATCTCGCATCCCTAGAGTACAGTCGAACCTCGCTTAAGTTAACACATGGTTTTTCCCGAAAAAAAGTTAACTTAAGGCGAGGAAGTTAACTTAAAATTCAGGGGACCACAACTCACCATCCCCGGGGCCAATAGAGGCGGTGAATACCTCAATAGACGCGCATTGGGCTCCACTACGTGTTTGACGAGAGAGGAGACTGAAAAAAGTGAGAGGGAGCATATTTTTATGTCCATTTTACTAAACAACACTATAACCAAGATGCTATGTTGGAACGCTTGAACCCACGCACACATTTCTCGTCGATCGCAATGTACAGCCACTCCTGTGTAGTAGTCTCATGCGGTCCCACGCATTCAAGACATACATAGGCCACCCCAAACACAGCTCTGGTCGTTTGTACCGCACACTCTACGACCTCCACATGTCGCGCAGAGTTGCCTGCAGCTCCCCCCCCTCCTTGGCTCGCCGCTTCACTTGAGTTTCGTGAGTGAACGAATGCACAACTTTCGAGAGCAGGTACTGGGTCTCGCGGTACTCCCCATCCTTTCCGTTCGCGTACAAGTAGGAGCAAACCTTCTCTAGGCTACCGCGAACTTCGGCCTCTGTCATCGAAGATGTTACGCACGACTCTGGTCTACCCCCACCATCTTCATCGTCCGTGGAGTCCGGTACCGTGCATGTAGGCTCCTCGCATCGTTTTTTGCCAGGCGCAGACGATGCACCGCTGGATGGAAGGAATCTCTCCATACCCACAGACAGCAGGTGCAGCAGCAGACCTCTTATTGGCGGTCTACAGAGCAGTGAGAGCACTGC